ATCTGGTGGTTATTAGAACCCCTCCGAAAGTCTCATCCAAAAGTTTTGAAAACCAGTGAAAGTTCTGCTTTTAATATTTGTTTTGCGGAGCTTCTGTTTCACATTGGGTGCGGAGATAAAAATGAAAAGCGAGGACCATATAAGCTTTGACCATTTCAAGTTAGGTCACCAAAAATCTGGAACGCTACAAAAAAATCTGAAATCGTCAGTACATATGTTTTTTAGCCTACTCTTTGCAACTGTAAGAGTTTGTGCTGTTTGGGCGTCTTTGTGAAAAATTATGATTTTCGCGAAAATTGACAAATTAATTAATTTTGGCGTTTTCCATAATAAACTCGATATTCATAACTTCTCACAGAGACGTCCAAACAGCACAAATTTTTCACAGATGCAAAGGGTAAGCCAAAAAACATGCGTACTGACGATTTCAGATTTTTCTGCAGCATTCCAGATTTTTGGTGGCCTAACTTGAAATAGTCAAAGCTTATATGGTCTTAGTCTTTCATTTTCATCTCCGCATCCAATGTGAAACAGAATCCCTCAAAACAGCTTTTGAAAGCGAAAGACTTATTCTTTCCAATAAAATTAAGGCAAGCAAATCCGTTGAAACATCGCAGAGTTATAAATTTTTGAAGATGAAACGACAGAACTTTCGGTTCAACCTATTATTATGGGGCACCTTGATATACAGGGTGTCCGTAGAATATGTATACACTCAATATGTATACAATGTTTGATCGTTAATATCTTTTTTCCCAAGAAGTCTTTTGCCTTGCACCAGGTACCATTTTGTAGAGCTGGATTCAACTTAGATCCTTCTTATATTCGGTCGTCCCGAAAGTTCTTTCGCACTATTTTCAAAAATTCGTAACTCCTTAATTGTAAGAACAAAATTTTGCCTAAGAGAGGAACTCATGCTCTTTGCAAAGGTACTTATTGTCTGTTATCGATAACATATGAAGGAGTTTGAAGCTATCCAAAATCACTCAAAATTTGATTTTTTCGTGATGGGACGCCAAAAATCGGGGGGCTAACAGAAAAATTCGGAAAATTGCCCTTTTCGCAATCCCTACATCGTGGCCTTTCTAACAGGGGAGAGCTCGTGGTGAACGAATGCTTCTAAGAGTAGTTGTGATTTTTTTTTCGAAAAAATCCATCAGCAAAGAGTTTTAGATTTTAGGAAAAAAATGCGCAAAAAATGCTGAGATGCTATAGACTGGATCTAGTGTGCGTGTAAATGTTACATACTAAGCAGTATGACTTGCTGCGCCAAATAGCAGGCTTGTCTTCTACCAAAACCTACGAAATTGAATTACCATTTTCTGTCGGTCTCGCTGGTTTTCCTTCACACTGATTTATTAGAAAAACACCATATATCGGTATCAATCAGCAAAGTAATTTCCACAGTTATCAGTTACCATCTCATCTCTCCGGCAATTGTCTGATTCCACTTTTGTAGAAGGCGTCCGTTTGTGATGCGAAGAAACCATCAAGAAAACCTCGCACCTCCTCCGACTTCTTAAAAGTTTTCCCCCGTAAGTGGTGTTCCATCTAGCGGAAAAGATGGTAATCAGACGGCGTGATGTCGGGGCTGTACGAACGGTGAGGTAAAACCTCCCATCCTAGCTCCTTTATTGTCTCTGCCGTGCTGGTTGCTACATGAGGTCTTGCGTTATCATGCAGCAATATAACCGCATTTCTTCCTCTTCTGGCTCCACTGCGCTTCTCATGGATCGCGGCAGCCAGTCTTCTCATCTGCTCGGAATACAGTGTAGCGGTGACTGTTTGGTTAGGTTCGAGTAGCTCGTAATGTATCACTCTTGCGAGATCCCAAAAACGCACAACATTACTTTTTTCAAAGGCTCTCGTTTGAGGATAAACTCTGGGATGTCTTCAGATTTGCACCAGGTCTTCCTTCGTTCTGGATTGTCAAAATACACCCACTTTTCATCTCCTGTTACAATTTTAGACAAAAAATCGGATTAGTTGAATCTTCGAATGAGACTAGAGCAGATGTCCAAGCGGCGAAGCTTATTTGCTTCCGAATGTGAGGCACCCAGATTCCATAATTCTGCACCTTGCCCATTTCCTTCAGCCTGCGCTCAACAGTTGAGTGTCCGACTTTAAGCTTTACCGCTAATTCTCGAATTGTTTGTTTCGGATCTTGCTCAAGAAGACTCCGTTTTTCTTCGGAGTTTACCACTTTCGGCCGACCGGATCGTGCACCATCTTTCAAATTAAAATCGCCGCTTCTAAACTTGGAAAACCAATTCTGTACCGTTCTAGTAATCACAACATTTTCTCCATATGTTCTGCAGATGTTTCTAGCAGCTTCACCGGCGGATCTTCCCTGATTATACTCGTAGAGCATACAGTGACGGTAGTGCAGTTTTTGCTCCTCCATTATCTGTGTTCTCGTTTTCTAAAGATCACTCCACCATCAAGAGTACACACCAAGCAGGTAAAGTCCTTGACGTAGCCCTTCAAAATGAAGAAGACTTTCTAACCAGCCAACGTCTCCAAGGAAACTTATGCCTTTTCATGTAATCCCGCAAAGGTGATTTCGTAGATGATTGACAAAATGTCTTGTAAATTTTCCGTTTTGGAGAGTTGAGTAGATGCAAAATTGTTGTTTGGCGCAGCAAGTCATACTGCTTAGTATGTAACATTTACACGCACACTAGATCCAGTCTGTAGCATCTCAGCATTTTTGGCGCATTTTTTTCCTAAAATCTAAAACTTCGCTGATGGATTTTTTCGAAAAAAAATCACATACTGTTAGAAGCGTTCGTTTACCACGAGCTCTTCTCTGTTAGAAAGGCCATGATGTAGGGATTGCGCAAAGGGCAATTCCGAATTTTTTAGCCCCCCGATTTCTGGCGTCCCAGCACGAAAAAATCAAATTTTGAGTGATTTTGGATTTTAGCTCCAAACTCCTTCATATGTTATCGATAACAGACTGATAGATTTAAGTATCTTTGCAAAGAGCATGAGTTCCTCTCTTAAGCAAAATTTTGTTCTTACAAATTCGTTGAGAATTTAAGGAGTTATGAATTTTTTGAAAATATTTTTGAAAATGGTGCGAAAGAACTTTCGACACGACCTGATATATAAACTGGAAACATCCGGCGCGACAACGTAAAGTGCACATCGTCTCTGACCTAATGTACCCCTTCAGCATTGTGGAGGGGGAGTTGTTGACAGTATGAGCGCGCGAGACATCACACTCTCTCGCAGAGGTTTCCGACTGCGGGAGCACTCAGAAAAGCGGTGTGCTCCAATGCGCAGACAAGCTCGAGACGAGAGCATGGTCTCGAGAGTGTCAAATTGATCGCACCCTACACGGCATGCGATGACGGCACGTGGATTGACTTTGCCTGCGACAAAGAATTGTGATGAAATACCGAGTTCCCAACTTATTATGATGCTTCATTGAAGAATTATGCCAGAAAAGGCTTAGCGGCCATTTTTTCAATGTTCCTAAAAAGTGCGGTTACACCGTTTAGAAAGCTTCGCAATCTTGTGAATAGTTGAGTATTGAACTAAGCGTCCATAAAAACCCTATTACACAAGTTTTCACATTTTTTTGAGAAATTTTGAAACAGCTTTTTTCTCATTGACACCATACGTTTCAAGTTTCTACCGTAATCCTACAGTAATGAAGAGAGATGGATGATTCGTCCTATACTGCAAATCTAAGTTGAAGCCAGCTCTACAAAATGGTACCTGAAGCAAGGCAAAAGATTTCTTGTGAAAAGAGATATTAACGACCAAACAGTGTATACATACTTTACGGATACCGTGTATAACTCAAAGTCTGTGAGGGTGTTCGTTAGGTTGTTAGTGCTTTATAGAAACGCCAGCCGCCGATCCGATTGAGCTGAAACTTCGCACACATATGTTTTTGACCCCCCCCCCCCCCCGGTGGTTTGGGGCTACTATTCACGGCGGTTGACTAGGTCCTTCTATCGATTCATTGATTTGTTTACTCAAAATTGGGAAATGAAGGTTTGACATGGTCTAACCGGTCATTTTCCAATAAACATGCAAGCAGGGGCGGTAAAGCTCATTCAAATCTCGAAGTCGGCATAATGCGATGGGTTGGTCTCAAAGCGTTTTACGCGCATGGTAGAAGAAATTTATTGTAAGTAGAACATTTTGAACTAATTAAAAGTTCGGGTGAGACCGGGACCACCAGCTAGTTGTCCTATAATCTAGAGTCCGTATGTACAGAACTGGAAAAGCTAGGAGTTTCGAGTTCGGGTGAGACCGGGACCACCAGCTAGTTGTCCTATAATCTAGAGTCCGTATGTACAGAACTGGAAAAGCTAGGAGTTTCGACGAATTGCAAACATGCTGGTTACAAAAAGACAAATGACTTTCTGTGTGAGGCTTCCTGCTAAGCATATCTATGGACAGGGCAAGAGAAAAATCTTTTGAGCACTTGAATGACAACAACTCTCTCATGCAAACAGCTTTCGCAGATTTTTAGGTAATGTACTGTAGTGCACTCCAGCTTACATTGGCAGCAGAAAACAGAACAACTATATTTTTTCAGTGTCGTAGAATACGGCAATTTCTGAAATAACGTTTTGCGAGTAAGAAAACATATTGACGCCAAAGATAAAAAGTGCTGAAAACTTCCCTGTTGGATCAATTACCATTGCTGATTCCATATATGAACTCGTTGTTTCCTATAGTCTGAAGATTATTAGACAGGTATATCGTGAAAGCGGATTCCGTGATGATTGACAAATTTTTATTTTACCATCTATACAATTGATTGCTGGGATACATATTCAAGAAATCACCTGTAAGAAGTGCTTTCATGGAACAGGTTTCTTTTTAAAGCAGACTAGGTCACTGTCGTCTCGCTGACCCAAGTGCTAAAATGAATATTTCTTCAAGCCATAGCACAGATAACGTGTGACGATTTCAACAGCTGAAAACTCAAAATTAGGCGTTATTTATTCCATTCCACTTTGTCTAACGTGCGGTCGATGATCCATTCGATGCAACGTGGGAGTCCAATCTTGTAACCAATAACACAGACTTTCCTTGAATTTACTTTTTTTAGTATCTGTAGCGGTTGCTGCAACTCTGCCTATTCTGTTTGTGTCGGCTATAACTTGTTATGTTGGTTTCGAAGGACAACGACTGAGGTTGCGGAACTACGTTAGTGAATTGCTACTTTTCTATTCCAGTGAGAAAATGCAGCTGTTCGACTCGCAAGTAAGTACCCCTTGATGACACGGTATTGGCAGTTTTTCTGAAAGCACATCAGGCGATTTCTTCGCCTCGCGTCTCAACAAGAAATAACTGCTACAACATCATTGCAAGCCGGTTATCTTGCAATTCGGTTGTGACGCAATTAATCGAGCAGGAAAACTATTGCTACCGAAATTGCCCATCGGTCGTCCGTGCAAACCTCTGACGGGATTTCATGCAAATTGCACTTTCTGCAAAAACCATTTACACCGTAAAAAATAGCAGCATTAACATCAAAAAAGCGATTTGGAAACGATGCGACGATTGCCCCGTCGCTCGGTACATGGACGACGCGACATCGCGCCGATTCGGCAAAATCGCGACCATTTTGCCAAGTGAGCTATGCAGGTCAAAGTGTGTAGCGTTATGTCGCGCCGAACAGCCATCACAAAGCTGTCGGGACCCACACACTTTAACAGCGCAGTGTGAGCACTTCTCCGACTAAGCAGATTGCTTCGCGAGGAGATCGCTGCGAGCTATGCTCAGGGCCTCAGGCCCCGGACACTTCACGCGATTTGATCGGTGCAACTGAATCGCGACGAGACAACTGTTACAACATCATTCCATGCTGATCAACTTGCATTTAGGTTGTGATACTTTTCCAGCCCGAAATTTTTGAATGTATGAAAATGAATAGAAATCTTGGCGATTAGATCGCGACGATTAAGTCGCGTGAAGTCTGACCGGGGCCTTAGAGTGAAAGCGGGCGTGATTGAAGTTAGCATCCTGTTACCTTTCATAACGATTTAAATACTTGAGAAGCTTTGCACACGTCTGGAAAACAATTTCAGTGGCCGTATTAATCAACGAACCCTGAGGGTTAAACTAACCGGTTGATCTAGCCCAAAACGCACCAAACCCGCGTACAGCTGGTACAAGTCGTAATGTCTGTAACATGTAAGAAGCGAGATCTGCTGCAGATGTCTGTATAGGATAACCCCTTCCAGTGGCTTGTCCTACACGAAAGCAAGCTCTTGGCGGGGCTCGGCATGAGGTGGCTTTTTCAATTTATCAAAAACGAAGTCCCCGTAGACTTCGCCACAAAAATACGACATCGTCTATGACGCGATCATGAATGGATCAAACGTAACGAGATATAATGGGATAAAACATAAAAAAGCCAATGAAAAGACGAAAAAAGAGTTAATGGTTTGTATTCTCCAAATTGGCGGCAAGCCTGCTCCGGCGCGCACGCTTGCGCGGTTGGAACAGGCTTGCCGCCGCCATACAAAATATTCGAAAGGTTATAATAAGACGAGGGAGAGGGGATTTAGGGAGGTTCAAAACTCACTTGTAGTGTTTCTAATGTAAAACAAAGCTGTGTTAAATATGTGAGAAAATTATGTGAAGGAAGGAAAATTAATAAATTTTTCTTTTCACAGCCACCTCAGCTGTCCAGGTGGCTGGAAAGCCACCTAACTCCAAAAAAAGTTTGCCACGCCTTCAGTTCACATAATTTTTTCATAATTTTTTGCACATAGTCGTAATTTCCTATTGCCCATCTACGCACCAATTTTGGTGTCATTTCGTTTTCTCTTCGCTGTAAAGAAGCCTTTTATTCAACTTGAGGCAGGTGTGATTTCGTGCTTAACCGGCGAACCTGTTGAAACAGAAAACTTTTGTTTTTGCAGGAATGGAATCGATGAGGCGGTAATGACAATTTGCGTCACTATACAATACCGCTCATAATTCGTCAAAAAAGTCGCCGGACTGCGGCGGAGTGCGCCGGAGTGCGGCGGAGTGTGGTGAAGTGTGGCGCAGTGCGCCGGAGTGCGGCGGAGTGTGGTGAAGTGTGGCGCAGTGCGCCGGAGTGCGGCGGAGTGTGGTGAAGTGCGCCGCACTCCGCCACACTCCGCCGCACTCCGGCGACTTTTTTGACGAATTATGAGCGGTATTGTAGCTGTGAGCTAGATGCGACTATCGCAACGACACCATCCTCGCTGTAGGTGCAAGGGAGAGAATCGCTCCCCTTCCTTCTGTCATAGCGGGATTCAAAGAAGGGGATCGTTCCCTAAAGATCCAGCTCCCTTTTCCTCTCCAGGGGGATAAACGTGCATACAATACCGCTCATAATTCGTCAAAAAAAGTCACCGGACTGCGGCGGACTCCACCGGAATGCGGCAGAGTGCGCCACACTCCACTAGAGTCTGTCGGAGTCCGCGTTGCATCGCTGTGTCACGCTTCAGAATGGACGAATTCTGAAACCGAGGACACTATTCGATTCAGCTCGGTGAGACGTATCATCTAGTATATAGGAGTGCCACAATCTAGCAGGATATGATAGGTATACGCTAGACAGTAAGTTTCCGCTCAATTTTGCAGTTTTTTGTTTGGTTGGATTGTTCAATTGGCTGACAACAGTATTGCCATTGATTTATCGCTGATGACACATAGGAAGTATACTGGAGGAGTATGGTAGAGAGTCACACTGATCAAATTTGTTCTAAAATCTGCTCAAGATCACAATACCGCTCACAGAATGTGCAAAATCTCCGTGAACTTCGCGGAATTCAGGTATTTAAGCTCAAGTCCGCCACATTCTGAGACCCACGACACTCCAGGAATCTGCGAAATAACGATTTCACGCAATACGCAGCACCATAACTTCCTTCGGAATGAATTTATTCTAAATCAGGAAACAGCATTGTGTTCAGATCGTCAAGGCGAATCCTTTAATGTACTGCATGCCCTCGATATTCCGTTTCCAGTTTTCTCGAATTTTTCTGTGGAGGTCCCTTCGCAAGAATATAACGCAGCGTCTGCGTATTATAAAAGATTCCAGTAAGCAGTGTTCGATAGCATCGCTCTTGTGGGTTATCATGTGCTAAGTAGTAGCCGCAGCCTTCTTTCCAAAAAAGGTAGAAGCGCCGGTGAATTCTGGAAAAATCACGCGTTTTTAGATTCTACTCGCCCTAACTCCCTTCGAAATAAGTACATTTTGAATCCGAAAACAGTACTGTGCTCAGCTCATCAAGGCGAATCTTTTTATTTACAGCATGTCCTTGATATCTCGATTTCAATATTCTTGAAACTTTCTGCGGAGGTCTCTTCGCAAGGGTGTAAGGCAGCGCGCATTGTCCCTAGTAAACTCCAGAAAGGACTGTTCGATATTGCTTTCTGTGGATATGAAGCGCTAAAAAGTATTTATAGGCGTCTTTCCAAAGGAGATAAAAGGGCTGGTGAATTGTGGAAAAATTTTGTCGTTCCAAATTCTACTCGTCGTAACCTTTGAATACGAAGCTATATTGCTAAACAGATATGAGTTTCGTAGTCAGCAGGTCGGATAACCCCTACGAGCAAGTTTTCAGAGAACTTCGGGTTGTCTGATTTTTCTCGTTCCACGCTTTGAAGCTAGCCAGTGGGATTTGGTCGAAATGTTGATGCTCTTAAATTGCAAGGAAACTTTGCTAATAGAGGTTTTCGAACACGCTCTTTACGAAAATCGTGGTCTTTGAGAATTACAAGGTTTTTTTGGAGAGATACGATGAGGTAACTGTAACTAAATCACGAGAGCTCGTAAACCTGCACCTCTCGCGTACCTGTCAGAAAACCTGCTTGACTGCTTATAAAGGTTAAAGTAAATAGGAAGTATGCCATCGAACGGTGCATGTCTCAAGCTCCAGTCTATAGAAATCGTCGAGTTGCGAGCCTACGAAAACACGTTCTCATGCATTTTGCCCACAATGTAAAGACCGCATACTTCGTCGAAATTTTACCGTGACTGGCTGTACAAAACGTTAATCAAATCTGTTCAATCGCTTAATGGATCTTCCTGTGCTGTGACAGTGACAGACAGATCTGAGCTCTAGCCACGAAACTGATTCAACAAAGCAGCTGAAGCACACTCAACCACCATATTCAGTACACTGAGTCATTGAGCTCCTGGGAGTCATTGAGCTCTTGCTATTGAGCGAAGCGAACATAATATCCGCAATGCAAGTGTCATACGAGCATCACAGTGGAATTTTGACGAATTATGCTATCTTTACATTGTGGGCAAAATGCATGAGCGTGTTTTCGTACGCTCGTAACTCGGCGAATTTCACAAATTGGAGCCTGAGTCATGCACCATTCGATAGCACAATTCCTAGCAACTTTGACTTAGAAAAGCAAGCAGGCAAGGTTTCTGACAGATACGCGAGAAGTGCGGGCATAGCACTTCTCGCGATGCAGATACAGTCAGCTAACCGTATCTCTCCAAAAAGACCCTGTAATCCTCAAAGACCACGTTTTTTGTAAAGAGCGTGTTTGAAAAACCTCTACAAGCGGAGTTTCCTTGCAATTCAAGAGCATCAACGTTTCGACCAAATCCCACTGGCTAGCTTCAGAGCGTGAGAGAAAAATCAGACAACCCGAAGTTCTCTGAAAACTTGCTCATAGGGGTTATCTGACCTGCTGACTACGAGACTCATATCTGTTTAGCAATATGGCTTCTATTCAAGGGTTACGACGAGTAGAATTTGGAACGCCAAATTTTTTCCACAATTCACCAGCCCTTTTATCTCCTTTGGAAAGACGCCTATAAATACTTTTTAGCGCTTCATATCTACAGAAAGCAATATCGAACAGTCCTTTTTGGAGTTTACTAGGGACAATGCGCGCTGCCTTACTCTCTCGCGAAGAGACGTCCGCAGAAAGTTTCAAAAATATTGAAATCGAGATATCAAGGGCATGCTGTATATAAAAAGATTCGCCTTGATGAGCTGAGCACAGTACTTTTCGGGTTCAAAATGTACTTGTTTTGAAGGGAGTTAGGGCGAGTAGAATCTAAAAACGCGTGATTTTTCCAGAATTTACCGGCGCTTCTACCTTTTTTGGAAAGAAGTCTGCGGCTACTACTTAGCGCATGATAACCTACAAGAGCAATGCTATCGAATATTGCTTACTGGAATCTTTTAATACACAGACGCTGCGTTATATTCTTGCGAAGGGACCTCCGCAGAAAAATTCGAGAAAACTGGAAA